CTGCGGCCCGCGCAGAGGGCCCTGTACCGGGACGTGATGCGCGAGACCTACGGCCACCTGGGCGCGCTCGGTGAGGCCCCGGGTCCGAGCCCCCCTTCACCGGCACTCACGAGATGCTGAGTCCCGACCACCTCCCATTCCCAGGGTTTCAGACACCCCTGGGCGGGGGTGGGGGGTGGGTCCATCCCGCACCCACCTCCCTCAGGCAGGGACATTGCTGGCCTCGTGTGGGTTAAGTCTGTTTGCTCCCGGGAGATGCCCTCCCTCCCTCTGGCGGGGGGGACGCCATCGCCCCAGGACAGCCTCTCGGGCCAGCGCTATGACCCCCGTTCTCTCCCAGGACTCCCGGGCCCCAAGCCAGCCCTCATCTCTTGGATGGAACAGGAGCTAGAGGCCTGGAGCCCCGCCGCCCAGGAACCTGAGCACGGGGAAAAGGGAGGAGCTCCGAGAGGTGAGGGATCGGTCCCAAGTCCCCCCTCCTGGGCTCCCGGGGCTTCCTGTTGAGCAAAGGTTCCTTTCTGATTCTTTGCTTCCAACAACCTGCATTGCATAGTAGAGACGGAAAGACGGCAGACCGAGCCCCACACGTTGAGCACGTGGGACAGTAGCCACGTGGAGACGTGTCTGAGCTTGGAGGATCCCGAGCGCAGGTGCAGACCTTCCACAGACCTCTGGGCATGAGCCCCATTCATTCTCCTTCAAGGACCAGCTAAGAGCCACTCAGACCGGAAGAGTAGGCCGCTAGCCTCAAGCAAGGCAGAATGCCTCGTGCGCCTCAAGCAAGGCAGAATGAGTCCCAAGAAAATGCCCCGTAATTGGCAACCGTTTTTTTTTCTTCTCACGACCAACCAACTCCCATCCCCGCCTCCAAAATAGTGTCCTCGTTTGTAAAACGGCCTTCATCAAAATCCTAAACGAACGCCCCAAATCCTCTCCTTTGAATCCATTGAGAAACCACAAGACTGGCCCACACAAAATAAACTGAATTCACAGCCAGCGAATCGATGCCAACTCCTTAGTGACCCTTTATGCACAGAGCAGACCTGCCCTGGTGAGTGTCCAGGTCTGTAACCGGCCCAGAGTAGAAAGCCTCGTCTTTCTCCCAAGGAGTGGCTGGTGGTTTCGAACTGCCGCCCAATGTGTAACCATTCCGCCACCTGGGCTGCAATACCGATAGTCGCTGCTTATCGAGCACTTAAGTGAACGGTTAGCGCGATCCTTTCCCCTTGCCAACCAACCTGGGAGGTAAAGAAGCCGTGATTATTTCCACTTGAAGACCTTGACCACCGCCCCTTCCTCCAACTTCCTCACTGGGCAGTCCGGTGACTCAAACCACCTTATCACCGGAGCCGATCCGGGCAAACCGGTTTTAAAATGTTACATTTGTAATATCTCCTGTTTCCCAGGAAACGCGGCCAACGACCAGAAGGAAAGAGCCGGAGTGGAAGGATCCGGAGACGAGCCGTCGGAAGGGCTGGTGAAGCCCAGTCCTGACCCCACTCCCCACCGAGCCCGGCCGAGGGCACAGCCACCCCTGCTGAAAGCTGCCTGGGACCAGAGCACCGGCGCGCAGCCCGCGGCCCCGGAGCCCAGCGCGGACGCCCAGGCCAGCCAGCGGCGCCACGTGTGTGCAGACTGTGGCCGGCGCTTCACTTACCCCTCGCTGCTGGTCAGCCACCGGCGGATGCACTCGGGCGAGCGGCCCTTCCCCTGCCCCGAGTGCGGCATGCGCTTCAAGAGGAAGTTCGCTGTGGAAGCCCACCAGTGGATCCACCGCTCCTGCTCCGGGGGGCGACGGGGCAGGAGGCCCGGCATCCGAGCTGTGCCTCGGGCCCCGGTCCGAGGTGACCGGGACCCACCGGTGCTGTTTCGACACTACCCAGACATCTTTGAGGAGTGTGGGTGATCGGCTCCCTGTTGGCCGGAGTTGCGCCTGAGCAGTGACCTTGGCTGCACTAAAGAGGGACTTGAGGCCTGAGGTAGGCTCTTGAGATCAGGAACTTGGAAAAGGAAAGCTCATTCCCGAGGTTTCCTTCCAGGAGCCGGTGAGTTTCCACACTGGAACAAGGAAAAGTGCCTGTTCAGCCTCCTCCCCAGTCTTCCATAAGAAGAAGGTGAGATGCTGGACTTGTTCAAAGCGCATCTCAGCCGCAGGTGTTCTCAGGAAATGTCCCCAAGTTACAGGCCAATGCTGAGGTGGGGGTGGGAGGACTCCGGCCTGGGGTGAGGGACCCGGATGAAGGGCTGACAGCCGGCCCCCCGGGACCTGAGCCAGTGAGTGGAGTGGGTGGGACGAGGGCATAAGCACCTGGCACAGATCTAGTCTCTGTACCTCTTCGGAAGTCACATCCCCACCCTTGACCTTCCTGAGCCCTAGTTTCCTTATCTGTAGAATGAAGATTGATATTATCTACCTCAAAAGGTTACTCTGGACACGGACACTTTTACAAGGTATGTATGGCACAGTAGGTGTGCAATAAACAGCTGTTGAGTGAGTGAGTGTTGACGTGTCCACACGCTTGTCCCGGGATCTCAGTGGGCTCAGAGAAATGAAGAGAGGGCAGCAACTGACCCCAGGGGTGGGGCAGGTCTACCCTGCCCTCGAGGGTCGCTCTGAGTCGGGGTTGACCCTACGGATAGACAGTTTGGGCGTTTGGTTTGGATCTGTGTCGGCAGAGAGCAGGGGAAGGAGAGCCTGGAAGTCAGGCCCTGGGATTGCTACGAGGAGCACTGTCAAGGAAATGCCAGCCCCCTGGTGGGGGCAAAGGTGAGGGGGAAGGGCTGCCAACTCAGCGATCTGGCCATGTAGGTCTACCCAGAGGCTCTTGAAAGAGAGGCCCATCCCGGGATGGACTTTAGGAAGATGGCCATGGAAAACCCTCTGGGCCCAGTTCCACTCTGACACCGTTAGCGGCATCGTGTGTCAGAGTCAACACGGCCACGGCTGATGCAGTGGACAAAGCAGGTAGCACGGGGAAGTGATGAACATGCCACGTGTAGGTCCAAGTGATGAGGAGGAGCCGGGAGCCGATGACAAGGACATCCGGAAGGGCCGAGTTTGATGTGGTTGAAACACAGAGAGCACACTTGTGGCTGACCCGGGGAAGTTGCATGGAGAGGACTTACGCAGGCGCTCAGAGGGAACCTGCCTACCAAGATGTGAAGTCTGGGTGTTGTAAATGGCTCGGGAGCAATATTTGACCTCCTCTGGCTTCCCTGTTGCCACGAGGCAGAGCCAGACAGGCCTCTACCCTTCAGCTCTGTCACCAACCATTCCTCCCACGGTACTCTGCTTCTCTGCTGGGCTCTGATCCTTCATTCCAGTGGCCAATACTCACAACGATGGGGCTTATGTTAGGGGAATTCACAGGTCACTACAAGCCAAGATCATAAAACTTGAAGGATACAGTTATTGGTCCCCGGCAACACCTGGTCTCTCTTCAATCCCCAGCCTCTCCGCCACATGGCTCCTTGGTGTAGGCCCGTCCGTGGACCTGGAAGCCCGCCTGTGACTCTCTCTGTCTCACCGTCCCATCGTCTGGACGCTGCTCCTCTGTTCTGTCTCATGGTCTCCTGTCTTCGCCTCTGGCTCCTTTACTCTGTTCCGCAGTCTCATGCCACCAGCTCTGGAGCCATGTCAGTCAGATCTCCAGCGTGCTCTTCGTCTGTGGGCCCTGGGATTGCTCTCTCAGCTTGTGCTTCAAAGATGGCCCATCCTTAGAGCCAAGAGAGTGATCACTAAAATGGGCCAGTCCCCTTACTAGTGTCACACACGACATGCCCTATTCTCATAGTCCCACCCAGTCATTAAGGAGCCCTGGCGGCACACAGGTAGAGCAGTTGCACAGTGGGCTGCTAACAGCAAGGTCAGAACTTTGAAGCCAGCAGCTGCTCCCCGGGAGAAGGACAAAGCTTTCTACTCCCATAAAGAGTTCCAGGCTCGGGAACTCAGGGCAGTTCCACGCTGCCCTACAGGGTCACGACCAGTCAGCATCGACTCAAAGACAATGAGTTTGGTTTCTGTGTGATTGGACCCAATCATTTGGGGAGAGTTACAGGGTGCTGGGTAAGAACCCGATGAAGAAACTGCTCTCCCACATTGAGCTTCTAATTAGAATGGGAAGCCACTGGAAGGTTTTAAGGAGAGTGTGTGGGTGCGATGTGAGCTACAACACGCAAACACAACCCCGGCAGCTCCGAGGGCAGCCTGTCAGAGGTGACAGTTGAGGGAGAGTGGCGATGGAATGTTGTGGATGGATTGGAGGTTACTTCTGAAAGCTGAACGGGTAAGAGGCCCCAGAATGATGGTTAGGGTTTGGAGGTGAGGAGAATGGAAGAGTTTCTGGGCATGGTGCTGAGGTGGGACAGGGTGAGACAAAGTAGAACTTCAGAGGCAGAAGGGAGGTCTTGGAAAGATTTCAAAATGGATTCCTTGTAATAAATGTTTGGCAAAAGAGAAAGAGGATGGGGAGGAAGCATGTTGTTTCCACGAGACAGGGCAATGGTGGGTGGAATGTTTCTTTAGTAGGGACTCCTGATCAATATGCACAAAGAGACTCTCCAAGGGACACAGGAAAGAACACTGGGTTGTTTTCCTCATGAAAATACTGCTCTACAGAATCCACCCTGAGAAAAGCTGAGGTCTAGGAAGGGGAGAGGCTTGCCTAAGGTCGCTCAGGGAGTCAGTGGCAGAGCTGGGCCTGGAACCATGCCTCCTGATGTCTCCATTGATGCTTGAGGCGCAGCAAACTTCTCCAGGTGGCCTTTAGCCTTTGCAACTCTCGCTACATGACTAGGTGATACGGTGCTAATCATGTCAGTCTGATGTGTGACATACTTGTGGGGGTGGGGCCATGCGAATAAGGTATATGGAACCCTAAGGAGGGGGTTGGCCAGTCTTACCATCCTGTTCAGCTTCAAATGAGCCATCCCAGAGATGGATGGAAAGGGGAGCCTTATGACCACGAAGAAAGAAGAGCCAAGATTGGAGCATGACCTTTGAACCTGGATTCCCTGAGAATTTCTCAGACCTAAGAGATAGAGAGACCTGTACCACCAGAGACAAGCAGCAGCAGCAGCAGCAGAGAAACAGCCACAGCAGAGGCAACAGGACCAGGGGGCTGGCAGAAGAGAATGTGGTGGGTCAAGCAAACTGACAAGACAGCTGAGTGTCTTTGCGCAGGAGGCTTGCTGGTGGCATGGGATGCCTCCAGACCCTTGTTGCAGAGCTACAACAGGTTGGTGACACTTGTCAAAGCAGAGCAGAGGCTGTGCTGGCTTGAGAGGTCTGAGGGATAAAGAGAGGCCCACCCGCGGGTATGACTAAGAAGCTATTCTGACCGAAAAACTGTATCCTGAGTTGCTTCTGATCCTGAATTGTAACCTGTTGCCTCCCTAATAAGTCCATGATGATGAGTATGCTCTGTGAGTTCTATGCGGCCATCAACACGACGATCAAATCCTGCAGAGACGTGGAAACTACCGTGGGAGAGACAGCCGATAGCAGAATTGGCCAAAAGGTTGGAAGACGGAGGCACCTCTGATGTCGATCTCATAGGGGTCAGTCTTGGTCTGGGAAACTGGAGATCAGATGCTGCCCATGCCCGTGCCATTCTTATGCTGGCACTCTTGGGGTGACCTTTTGCTTCCACGACCGCGGGTACTTCTTGTGCTGCTTGCTGACCCATACAGGCAGGTGGTCTTACTCCTCTCCCCACTGATAAAAACAAAACACCCAACCCAAAACATCCCTCTTTCTGCAAATTCTGACTTCATAGGACCATGGAGGCCTGGACAGGGTTTTGCTTTGTTGCACATCGGGTGCTGTGGGTGGGAGCCAGCTCGATGGCACCTAACAATAACAACGGCAGGTGGTGAACAAGAGAAACCAAGGCTGACAGTTGTGCCCTTTGCAGAGACACCCAGGAGGGGCAAGTGGGGGAAGAAAGGGATGGGGTCAGTTTGAGCCACACCGAGTCCGCGGGGCCTTTCTGACCTCTATGCTGGGAGAAGGACGCAATCGGGTGACTTGGTCAGCTGCTCCGGCCCGAGGCAGAAGTGAAGACGCATAGAGACTTCTCACTAGTGACCTGCAGGGCATGGGCGGCTGGGTGAGCGGGTGTGATGTAGGGTCCTCTTGACCTTCTCCAGGCCATATCTCCCCTCCACCAGGTGCCCCTCAGGCCCCTGAAGTGGAAGGTGCCAGGATTTCAGGTTCAGCCCAGCATAAAATGGAGAAGGTCCTTTCTGATTCACTTGGATCTTGAGTTTTGTGAAAAGGTTGCTGTCACCCAG